CCCCCCCCCCCCCCCCCCCCCTCGTCCCCGCCAGTCTCCTTTTGTGAACTTCTGTTGCCATCATGTGATTTTAAATTGACGTCGAAGATTAAGAACTAAAGATCTAAAAATCGTTTCAGTTATGTTCTCGACCAACAATGAGAATACTCCAACAAATAACAGTTCGGCATAAACTAATGCAATAAATTAAATAGCGAAAAATTAAACTAATAAAACAATAACCTGCTTGACTGTGACGAGCAAATTTTGCCTCAATATAATATATGAAGGGATGATTATTATTTTCTACCCGTCATACCAAAATAACGACAATAAATTAAGACATGTGGAAGGGTCGAAAACTGGAGACGTACATATGGAGGGATCGGAGCATATAACCATGATGTATGTTTTTGAAGTGAACAGATCGATGAATGCGGAGAAGTGTTGATTATGAAGCTCAATTTTGGTGAAGTTGGCGCCAACTTTAGCGCAGGACAACTTGAAATGCTTGATTATGTTGCTGATCTTATCGAATCGGTGTTCGTCCGGATAGGGAGAACGTGAGTGACAAGCGATTTCCAAAAACGTGTCCCGTTCGAACAGTATTACTTCGTCCGCTTCGAGGACTTCGCAGAGTTGTTTAAGACTTCGCTCTAGTATTTTGACGTTTGGAATAAGTTCGTAGACAATTTTGGACCAAGCTTTGAAAAGGCTTTCATCCCAAATTGAGGTGGCGAAACAGGAACAACTAACCGGGCTGGTGATCCGCTCAATCTGTTCACGCCGTTCATTGAATATCTACCAGACAAGTAGGAAAAAGTAAAATATGTACGATAATCAGAGACAGGAAAAAAGACAAATTTTTCAAAAATTTCAATTCTGCCAAACCAAAAAAGCTGTGACACCTTCCAGTGGCTTTTACCTTTTGGCAGGAAAATAAAACAAACCGTTCACTCCTGTTAAGAACTTTCAGTATGATCGGAAGTTGGATTTTGACTAGTCACTCGTTCCTTAAACCTCATAAGATGCTTGTATTTGGTCGAGTATCCCAAACAGCTTCGGTTCGGAAAGCCTTAAGTTTTGTCTTTACATGGTGGTGTTTGCTCACTAAACTGAGAGGACAAAAGGTCAATAACCAAGACCGTAACCGGCGTTTCACCTAGGAGAGTTGGCAAAAATACTGGCTTGGTCAATGAATCGATTGGGCATCGAGGACTAATTAACAATTTGGATTTCTAATCCAGTTCATGGTGCAGGTTCCGATGAACTAGACACTAACTCCCAGAGGATTTTACTCTGCTTTCACATTTGTCCGAGCACAGACTGTGCCAACAAATCAGGGTACAGCGATCTTTATGAAAACAAAAAGCTTCATGATTGGCTTGTGGGAGCGGTACTACTAGTGTGCCCAGGTCAAGGCAGGTGAATTTTCCTGGGGAATACAAAACCGAAGACTTCAGGCAGCGGGACGGTGAGTGAAAACTGCAATCCATCGGGGGTTGGTGTCCAGGTTGTCGGATCATACGCCATTTAGAAGGAATCAAACGCCCAAAGTGCCCAATACTCCCTGATGCCCAATTGAAACGGTGAATAATACAACGACCAGGAGGCTGTAAATGTGTGATTCGCACACATTCTTGATCGGTTCAGAATCAGGGTCTTTAGCCAACTCCAGTAGANACTTGGAAGGTGCAAAGCACATACCATACCTGGGTACCTCGATCGCCAAGCGGTTCGAAGCCTCTTTGACCTCCGTCTACCTGTGGGTCGGTTCATTGTGCGCCATGAATTACTAGATATAAAAATCTCAATTGACAGGTCTGATTTGAAAGTAAAAGTAAAATTGTGG